CCGCCTCGGCAACCATCAGGCGGGACTGGAAGCGAATGTCAAAGAAACGTACACCAGTGTCTCTCAGTACACCAACATGGAAAGTCCAGTTCCCATAGCGTACGAACTTGCTTTTAATTGTTCCTGGGAACGTGGGAGCTAAGGTGGGTTTCTTGAATGACTTCTCCTCCTCCTGCTTACCGTACATTCCGGGCAAAGAGTATCGATTTGTGGAGGCGTGCGTGATCCTGTCGTGATTGAACATGTACGTTCTCAGGTGGATATCTTCGTCCTCAATTGTTTTCTTGAACTTTTCAATACTACTGAAGTGTCTGTTTTGCAGCCAAATGTCTGTGATGTTCCAGTGTTTGTAATCGCTCTTGGAAATATCGATCTGATAAAAAAGGATACGACATGTTAATGTTGCCCATACCTGTAGGATATATGACTACAAATAGTTAGAATAATAAATAAGTAATGAAAGTATGAACTCATTTTTAGAAGACTCGGCAACCTCGGTGGGAGATGAACCCGCGGTTGCAAGTGAAAGGCTCGAATGCAACCAAAGCTCTAGACAACTGAGCTAGTAGATCCTCTGTGGGAGCCGTGGGTTTAATCGCAATTGGTAGTCATCTGGTGGGAACTCCTGCTTTGGGTAATCAGCTTATTGTATCAGAATTCATGGATTCCTTATGTTGCAGTAGCCTGGGAGGGTAAACTGACCCTGGTGTGATTAAACGCATGGCTCCCGGTGGTAAACTCGTAGCTAAATTGGCTAGAGCATTGGCTGTGATACGACAATGCAGGGTTGACTTCAGGATTTCAAGCTAGTGACACTAACCCATCGTCACACGGAATGAAATTGAGGGCCGGGATTGTCGCACTAGAGGGTTTGGTGGCAGAGGTCACATATAACAGGGGTAAGAGTGCGGGAAGGGTTAGGGTGACACGAATAATACTGCGATAGGCGTTGCCAGTGAAAGCAGGCTGTTAACGTTTCTATTGTGATCACGTGTTCCGAAAGAGCTGCAGAATCAGCGAAGTTCCGCTTGGCCGAGTAGGGACCGACTGTCGTTATTTCAGGTGGGGTGCAAGTTCGTCGACCATGTGCGCAAACGGGTGTAATGTGCATCAAGATCCACATGCCTGTTAATGTTGTGTGTGCCGGAATGCCAAGCTTCGAAAAATTCTCGTGCCTGTTTTGTATTAGCCGTTCCGTCCCAATTGAAGCGGTGGTCATTATCAATAGCGTGCACGAACACGAGAGACAACGGGTCACGTCTACGGATTGCCAGTTGACGTTCATATATTCGGGTCCCGAGTTTCCGAGCTGTACAAACTATATAATCGCTAGGGCAATTAGCACACGGAATGCGATAAATCGCACTGGTTTTTTTGCTCTTTTGGCATGTTGTCTTTAACGCGAGATAGAGCTGTCGTCAGGGAGGATGCCGGCTTGTGAACGATGCTGAGGCCGGGTCGAAAGTCCGTGCTTGTGGATGAAGGAATAGAATGTCCACTGTACCGCTTCTGCTTTGGAGCTCCGATCTTCGGATTGTCTTTGACGTTGGAGCGAGTTTTTTCACAAAACTCATCGGATATCTGTTCGATCGGAATAATTGGTGTAAGTAGGCAAGTTCTCTTCTAAGTAGTTTATTGTATCAGAATTCATGAATTGCTCACTTTGCAGTAGCCTGCTAGGGTAACTTGAACCAAGTGTGATTAAACTCATGGCCCCCAACGGGAACCTCGTAGCTAATTTGGCTAGAGCATTGGCTGTACCAAGGCAATTCGAGTTTGATGTCATAATCCAGCCGTTTGCAGCTTTCTGATTTTATTCTCTATATCGCATTGGCCTGTGCGAAACGCAGCAGAGGTCCGGTCAACGTCGCCAGAAGTAGGACCTTAAATGCAGTCATTGGATCCACCCTATGGCCAGTGATTGAACTCCGTCCTCAGCAGCAATCTTGGCATAGGTTCATCAGTTGACCGCGTTGCCAACGGCCTTTGCGTGCGCCCAATGTATACGCATAAGTACTTACACGTAAAATCATAAATGCAGTTTGACTCTAGGCAGAATTTCTTAGTTTTTTCCTAACTGGAATAACCGTTTTTTGTGCTTATGACCGACAAACTGGAGGCAATGAACGTTGGACACAAATAGTTCGAGAGAGCTTTCGTGTCCGTGAGGGCGATACCTATCGATGGATTCCTCTGGATACTCGATTCCGAGAAACAATTTCTTCAGGAAACCGACGTCTTCATCGATTTTATCTGAGGAACAGATTCTAGTGGCTGTATTGAGCAGTCAGAAAACCTGAATTAAAAAGAAACCGAAGGAGTGCAGTTACTGTCAATCCTAGGTGGTCTACTAACAGATGGAAGGCAGTTTTTGTAAGTTTTTGACCAATATTCTTTCAATATTAGACAAGAAAAACGGACAATTGTATTGCCAGATCGATGGTCTAACTATGAGCAGTCAATTAAGGTCATCATGCGCGGACAACTCCATATCAAATCTCGAAGACAGATTGGCCAGATACCTAAAAAAATATGCATTTTATGGATGAGGAGACGAGAACAAAGGACTCGAACAGGCTACCGGTGAATGCAGAGTGGTCAAAGAGAGCGACCTTCAAAGGCCGACACCCGAGGACGCAAGACCAGCCGCCAGCCAGGTTCTGAGGTCACGCATGACAAGGACCACGAAAGGACACATGCACGTGCGCGCGTCACTGAGGGCGCGACTTGTCATCCTGTGGACACCCCATGTTGGCTGCATGCGGAGGGGCCAATAGGGAACAAAGGCTGTTGATCCTTAAATACGACGCTGCGAATAGAAGGCGCACTCTGTTGCCTAGACGCGCTACCGACGACTCGACAT